CGACCTTAATATTTCCAAGGCCCATGAGTATAAATGTAATAAATATGCCCCCCTGATTCATGACATTTCGGCCCGCAATTTTGATGTATCCCTTATAGCATTCGAAGTCGGGAGTCGCGGTCTACTAACTAACCACAACTTTCAGTCACTTAAATCACTAATCAAAATGGCTAACGCAAACGTAACCGCCAAAACCCTGTCAAATCAAATTTCAAAAATGGCTGTAGTGTCATCATTTTCAATCTTCCATGCAAGACAAGACCCAGCATGGACATTACCTCCACTCCTCCAATAACAGCCTATAGATGTGAAAAATACGTGTAGGAACCAGGAGGACACGAATATAACAGCTGAATGTTAGATATTGATATATACTGATTATAGTTTGAAGTCTATGACTGAATTGAAATTGGAAAGTATATTTTGTGTCAATTTTTATCAAATCAATTACTAAATAATGAAATTCGATGCTACAATTGTATTTGTCAACTACCAAAATATATACTTGGACATTAATTCTTTTAACAACAACAAACAAATCAGTGATTTTAAATTTAATCGAGTTTATCATCAACTGTAAACTATGAATAAACTATAAATGTAAACTATGCAATGTACCTTTTATAGCAACTCAAATGTGTGATTATTTAGAAGCAAATGACCAAAATTTTTACTACAAAATTCATGAGAACTCTTTAAATAATGATAAGTCAACTTTTATAACAAATGTGTGTATAATACGATACAGCTTATTCTCCGTGAGATGCAATCAAGAAATCTGTTGTAAATTCATTCTCTCCGTCTCTCTCCTTTGCTATGTCTCTCTTCCTCCCTTTTCCCACTTCATCCTTCTTCTCCGCTAAACTTTACCATTACGTTCTACATTACATAAATATTATTATATTTTTAGATTGAACGAACCCCATAATTAATTTTTCATATCATAACTGATACTTCTGACTGCTAATGATCTTAGAACAAGTATATATGTTTGTATGTATATGTTTACATGTTAGGCCCTGCCTGAGTAATGTCAACGTCCTGGGCCACGATTTTCACGTCTTTATAATATGTCTATTCACTATGTGAAGGAAAGATTCCTTGTTATCTTATTTTGTATTGTTATATTGTTACATTGTATATGCTTTTCTATGGAAATAAATACTACTTTATATATCTTCTCCTTTTATTGCGACATATTATGCCAATTCGTGGACCAACTGTCAGATATTGCCTTTATATTATATAAATATTTATTTATATGTATATGTATGTGTGTGTGTGTGTCTTTCTCTCTTCCCCCTCTTTCTCTCTAAATCTCCCCCTCTCCGTTGTATATCATGTATACCTTTTAAATAGATCTCTGGAATTTTCGAATATTCTGTTGATCCGCAGTTTATCTGAGGTGACCTCTGTTTCCGGATGAGTAACGAAATATCATGAGACTTCAAAATAACAGGAAATAACACCTACCTCGTATTCGGCCTAGGCTTACTTTGTGAAAATATGGGGAAAGTCCCCAAACATGATTTGGCAAACAAACTTTACTATCTTTACTGCAGGCCTACTTGTACTTGGTAATCGCTCTCATCGCCATTTTCTGGGTAAGAAAAATACAATAAGGGTTTGCATGTGGTTCCCCGTACTTCAATTCCATGCAATTTTTGGCTAGACCATGAAGCTGTAATTCCTGGCTAGACCATCATCCATTGGCGTACGTGTAAGCACCCTACCTTTCAGCCGAGGCAAGCCACGGGCTTCCCAGTGTTTATTTTCCTTACCGATTCTCTCTATTTCCTTCGTGATTTTGCTGAATGTTTCTTCCCATTTTGACAGATTTTTCACTTTTCTTTTCAAATCTCCTCTCATCTTCCTGATTTGTGCAAACTTTGCTTGACATGGAAACTCCTTCTCCGCCTCCCCCCCCCCCCCCGTCCCGCTCCCGTGTACGCCACTGTCATCATAAATAGCTAAGCGTTGCTGTGCCGGAAGTTTTGCAAAAGTGAAAGTCCGTTCATACAAGCATTACGGTGCGGCATGACTGCAGTGCTGTACCACAATAAAGTTAAAAATACATTTTTAATTGAAATGCCATGATTTTGCGTTGAGTTGCGTCAGAAAATAATCGATATATCGGCAAGCATAAAACAATGTACCGCTCATAAACCGTTGCGAGTATAAATTCAGCTTAAGTCTAATGGACCGGTCAAATGACACGATAGTTTGGAAGCTCCGAATCCAGCCATGATTCAGTCCTAGTTTTCTGATATGGCCAGGGATTTAGGACAGTCGGTAACATTTTCGCACTTTTTCTTTTCAACTGTAGATAATTAATGAAGCCAATATAATAAAGATGTGGACACTGAAAGTATACACCAAACCGTGTGAATTGAGTTCGAATTTCAATTGTTCTTGAGCTAGGAAGGACTGTTTCCCAGACAATCAGATAGAGGATATCTTTAATACAATTAAGGAAGTTGTTTGAACATTTTGTGAGGGGCAATACAAACATATAAAATAAAAGATGTATATAAATGTTAACACATCAAGATCTATGATAAGATTATTGTACTGTGTGACGCTATATTTCATTTATTATACTTTTATAATATTTTGATTGTCATCTACTGCCTCAGTGAACGACTTTTTCTAATTTGTTATGTTATATAGACATTCAAAACATATAATAAACCTTTGAACTTCATTATATATTATAAAAGTGGACCATTCAGAATAATTTATTTGTGTGTCCTAATTAAATTACAATATTAGGGGGTGGGGTTAGGGTTAGGGTCAAATCAACTCTACTAGCAAAAAGTTTTGTGTACATAATTGTTTGTAGCTTACCTGTATAGCCTCTGAGATGGAGAATCCTCTGTTGAAGCTTCGGGACTTCTTAAGACTTCAATTCGGCAGATTCGAGAAATCAAACAACGATCAGTTCAAGTGAATTGCATAAACAGTTAGTACTAGTATGGGATGCATGCCCTCATACATCGGACTTACCAATACCAAGTTTTCTTCTTTTGTTTCTTCCCAATTATAATAATTCCGATGGTTCGAAAGGTCATAAATGTCCACAAGTGGTTATTTGTTGTGTTCACATGAGGTATATATCCAGAAACGCATTATATTAATGTTCGTTCAATCAGATGTCAACGTAAATATGACACACATGCAATGTGATCTTATATACTATGACCATCGCTACGGTTTCATGCTTTCACTTTCACATGATGATCTTGCGGTTTCCTAACCTATGGGAATCAGGAAATTACGCAGGAGATAACAAAATGAACAATTAAAATTTGATTTATTTGATGATAGGGATACCCGTAACGGAAATAAACTCAGATCCTTCAGAAAATTAAAAACTACAATCAAGCAAAAAAAGGTATTTATCCCATATACCAAATATAAATTTCAGAAAAAATATCACCAAACTACGACTGAGCGCACACAACTTACCCATAGAAACGGGAAGATATAAAAGACCAGGAAAAACGCCCCCTTATCTACGATTCTATATAGACGACAATATGAATCTAGTAGACATGAATTCCATATAATTATGAAATGTGATAAATATACAGATTTACGGGTAGATTTTTTTTAAATTAGCAATTTGGAAGAAAATTATAGTAAATTCGAATGACAAGAACAATGTATACATATCATGAGATTAGACAATACAGATATTATAGATATTTTCTCTTCGTTCACGAAAAACATAAATGCAGTCGGTGAGGGGTAACATTAAAATACTGTGTAACAACAAAATAAAAAAAATTAAAAAAAGCCTTAGTGAATTTGATAAAAGATAAGTGTACAACCCTATTATTTTCTCCATATTTCTTTTATGTATTCGACCTAAGGGGGTTGCATTTATAGGTACTATTACGTCATAATTTTAGGCGAAACGATTATCTATTACATTCCATGTACCTCATTTACCTATTTTGTAAGCATGGGTTATGATTTATCAGAAAATTGCTATATTAGGTTTTATATATCTAAATCTTCGAATGCATTATGGTACATTACATTATTTACGTTATGCATTATGTGACATATGTTAAAAAGAACAAGATTTGTTTCTGCTGTATATAATTTTCCTTCTGTTTTGCTACACTGCATTGTAAATTGATCTATTAACTTATGATATATATGTTTACAAACAGAATATGGATAGTAACATTCGTTGTAAATTGATTTGGGTCTATATGTTTATAAACAGATTATCGATGAACATCAATGAAGTTTAAAAAATACAATCTCTAATACAGTCATGGACAAAAACAGGACAAATCTATTTGAGACAGTCATATTGTATAGGCGTAATTTAAGCCTCGTCCATTTCTAAACGAAAAATGCATCGAATGGTTTTTGGGGGGTTTTAACCAAAAAAAAAGAAGAAAAATTTCCTTCAGCATAATATATTACAAACAAACAAACAAAAACAAAAACAAAACAAATATATATATATATATATATATATCGTTAAAAATTCATTTTTTGTTTAAACGAAAAGCACACCCACCCGACGTACGTTGACACTAGCTTTTTCATTGGAACCCTCATGTCCCATTTACTTGTGAAAGTTCACCTATCGTAATTTGGTCAAAATAGGTCGCTATATGTTAAACAAGTCGAACTTTTGGACGCAATTTGACACGCGATTGTAAGGTTATAGGTCAAGCACACGAAGGATATCGAGCATGAATTATCATAGATCAGTTCTGCTTGGTTCATTATGTAAGCAAAAACATGAATATTCATGATCGCCATTGACTATTCGATTATTTACAGAGGGGCGCAGTTGTGCACCACACCAAACTCCCCTACTTTAAGTCAAGTATTTCGTTGTATTATGTAGTTTCGTTGGTAGGTTTATTTTAATAGTTTAAAGATATGGAAAATTTCCTTGTATTTTATATTTAGCAAGGCAATCTCACATACAAATTAACTACCAAGTGTCGTCTAATGCGTCGATTGCCGTCTGCTATATACGTCCAGCGAGCGAAAATGAGACAACCGGAGCAATATGAACGATAATCCGAACGGAAATTTAATCAACTACAAGAAGATCTGTAACAGAAGAAATAAGTGATGTTTTCTTAGAACAGTCGGAATAAACTGTTATAATCGCTTCAAAAACATACTTGAACGTGTGCACTTCTACGACCCTATGGTCAAATCCAAAATCTATCAGTTCTACATGATGTCTTCACCACTCTGTACCAGCATTATCATACAAAGCTCTAGAAAGTCTCTCCGGTAGAGCTAGCCTCCTGTCTCTGGATTTCCGCTGGAGTCCGAGTTGGAAACGGGCCGTCCTTCAGGTCTGCTGAGCTGTTCTGGAGCGTTGAGCTGGGTTGTCCAGAACCGGAACTGACCGCAGAGGGCGTCGTGAAATATTTAGGTAAGCAGCATTTGAACTGGGAACGCCATGTCAAGCGCACCTGGGGCTGTCTAACGCAATACAGCATGAAGATGAAATACCCCTGAAGAGAGTTCAGTACAGTGAAGATTCCTTGCACAACCGCACTGGCTGGTTGTATGATGCTCAGGTAACCAAGAGACCACGTGAGACCCATTAGAGTCAAGATGCAAACTGCGTTCTGGAAACGTCGAATCCGCTGGCGCTTGTCCGTCTTGTCCAGGTGTTGTCCTTTCATAGTTTTGTTCAGTCGCATGAGGACCCGAACATAGATGACAAAGTTGAAGATCATGACGACACCAATAGGTATCAGGAGACCACCAATCACAGGCCAGAATGCAAGGAAGCAACTATAACACAAAATTGAAATAAAATAAAACATCATCTTAACAGATTTATATTTCTAACTTGAGTGTATAACACGATCACCAAGACTTGAGATAAATATGCGTCACCTAAATGTGCAAACATTACACTGACATAAATAATACTAATATTAATCAAATATTAAGGATGCCAATGTTACATTGAGAAAGCGCTTTTTCATTATAAAATATAGGCGGTAAAATAGGCTCTTGAAATGGCCTTTGGATTGATTTTCAAGTTTTTTACGATCGTGCTAAGTCATGATGCCAATATAATGGGATGTTATCTCTTACAGAGTGTCTAAGAACACGAAATTCAGTCTGTCACAACAAGGTGACATTAGGTCATAAAATCATAGCATAAAATCATAACAAAAAATAATAACAAAGTAAATATACATATACATACACAAATCGCAGTTAAGATATAAAACACCATTGCTGTCATAATGCAGAAGTAATTCCCCTGCACTACCTTCGACAGCAGAGGAATACAAAAACCCGATGTGTTAAAAAAAGATATTCTGCATGATAAAACGTACAAATCTGTCTGTGCGTAGTATTGTCTTGAAGCACCTGCAGTAATCCCGACTATTAACAAAGGGCAACCTACAAAAAGAACAAACAATTTGAGAGTGGTCAAGTTCACATTAGTCCTTTTCTTCCTCTCCCTGTCTTTTCCCTCTTCTTTCTTCTTTATTTTTGTCTTTTTAATTCCTTTCTGTTTTTGGTTCTTTCTTTCTATATTTCTTTCCTTTTCGTCTCTCAGCAAGTGACCTACATATATAACGAACATTTACTCATCTTGCTTCGTTAATGTTTTTTTGCTATTTATGTTTTTTTAATCTGGACAATTATTTCATCGAAATTAGTTTATAAGGTGTAAAAATGAGGTTACGTGTTTATGCTACTTGGTTGTATGATTTTTTCTTGTTTTAATGCATACAGTTTTAATGGATTTTCAGGGCCCTATGAAAGACCAACTTTTGTTGAATGGGATACCCTGAAGAAATATAAATGAATGAAATAACTAAAATGAGATGAAATAAGCGAACGGGTTCAGGAATTTTCTCCAGAACAGTTCTACTAGATAGAATGGGCTTCAAACAAGCACTTCTTTAAATTGTATTCCCTTGCCAACAATCATGATAAGTGTGAAAAACAAATTTCCTACATTAACTTTTCGGGCGAGGAGAGGCGGTAGGTGGAGTCATGTTATAATAATCCGTTTTATCGGCGCCCCAACGGACAAACACATGATCTTCGTAAAATCGAGTAAACCCAAATACTCGGAAACTAACAGTGAATAACGCACAATGAATATTCTGCTCTCTCGTTCAAAGTCTGTGGATACATTTAATTCATATGCTTGCATATGGAACGAGGGAGGGGAGGGAGAAAACCTACGTTCCATCCCCTCCTTGTAGTGACGCCCTTGTATTAATTCAAGGAGCAGATGAAATCTTACCCCATGCGATCAACGAAGCTTTCTTCATAAACCGTGGCAAATAGTAATGGTGGACCAGTACGAGGAGATTATGCATGTTGTAGCCCTCAACGGCCATCCAGAAAATAGATACCAGGATGAAATATTGGAGGAATGCAGCCAGGATCGAGCAAGGGAGAGGGGAGAGCTCAGTCACATCCCGTTTAGTGTCCACTGATATCATGACTATAAAGATCACATAGAGTCCTAGTAAGGCACAGCAGAGGGATAGGAGAATCTGGTTGGGTTTCCGGTCTCGTAGCTTTCTGAGAGATGAAAAAGAAAACCAGAAGATACTCTGTGAATGCTGCATTATCATAATGGAATAACTAAAATTCATGAACAAATTTACCATTTCTTTAAATCCTCTAAAATGACCTTCAATTGAACATGTGGAAGGCTCAAGCTGACTTGGAATAACTTCTTTGCAGGGGAGAAATATTTGATTTGTTTCAGTTATGGTTCCGGTCAGGGTTAGGATAATCACATTTCTGTTCTCATTACGTTTAATACCATTGACAGCCTTTTTTTTTCTCGAAACGGTCTACATTGAAGGCGATCAATAATATCGCCATCGTATTAACATCTATTAATTTTATTATATGTTGATGTCTATTAATAAAACAAAGAAGAATATAAATTTAAGCGGGTACAAATTCATCCCCATGTGCTAAACAAAAATGGTTTCTTATTATTTATAAAGACAATAATAATTTGGCACTTGATAATGGTACTCACTTGTTTGTTGCAAATGTAAAGATTGTCATAACAAGGCCCAATATTGAAATCAGGCAACCAACATAGCTAACGATCTCGAGGATGAAATCTGCTTCACCTGATAATTGTTCTCCTCCATAGATATCCTATAACGGAAAAAAAAATGAAGGGTCGAAAATAACTGAGAAAATATGACATTATTATCTATTCTAAAATCGTCCACCTAAACACAAGTTAAGCCCCTATTATGGGATTCGAATTTCTAATCTCACGTTGACCTTATAGGCGTAATGAAGAAAAATGATTATACAATAATTGGGTCTTATTTACCCCGAGAAGCCACATTGGTATTGCACGCTGATTCTTTATCCGATGGAGTGACGAAATATACATAGGAAAAGCAATATCCTAACAATATTGAACTCGATCAAAGAAATAGAATAAAATACATGATTTTATTCTACGGAAAAAGAACCTTTTATGTTATCATCACAGTGTTTCCCGGTATTCAAGAAAAATCCCTGGGTCTAAAGGGACAAATGTGAACAAAACACCTTGTCCAAGGATCGAAGCACAGGAATGAATCGGATTTCAGTTACTAAGTTTGTCCCCATTCCCGAAACATGCAAATACCAATTATGTACATTATTAAAATACAAAGAATACATACCTAAAAAAAAAGCAATTAAGTGAGAAAGGGGAGATAAGATGATGAACCAGTATTTGGAGGGAGGGGAACAAATGCAAAGTTGCTTGTCGGGGTCAATCCCCAAACGAATCATATCTTATTGTAAAGATATTAAATCAAAATGGGAGCGGTCATTCCAATGACCATTGCTGAGCTACCATGAGAATTGCATTTTTTCAAAAATGATTTTTTTTTTTTTTTTTTTTTTTTTTTTTTTTTAATTTTTTTTAATTTTTTTTTTGAAGCTTTAGAGTGATACAGATTTTAAAATGTTATCGGTTAATCAATTACAGAAGACTTGGCCTCTGTATCTTATCTGACTTGTTTGTCTGTCGGTAGTTTTAAAGAATATAGAATATAGTTTATGTAAGCTTCTGGGGTTGTATTTATGGATGTAATCATTTGCTAAACACTAGTCACCAGGGGCGGATCTAGCTTTTTGCTAAGGGGGGGTTTGACCAAAATAATGACGATGCGGAGCATCGTCCACGAGCCGCGAAGCGGCGAGCCGATTTTTTTTTGGGGTGTTTATTTGAACTCCGTAAGTGATGTTTTCCTGGCATCTATTAACACAATGGAGACCATAAAAAGCAGTGCATGATAACGTCTTTTTAAATCAAGTAACAGTAAATACACAGTTATATCCAGAGTTATCATGTGTTGGGTTAAGTTACCAGATGAGTTGAATATCTTCTCACAATATTTGCACTTGAAAGGGTTTCTCTCCAGCGTGCGTTCTTTTTTCTTTTTTTTTCTTTTTTTTTTTCTTTTTTGGGCCGCCCAAGGGGGGGGGGGGTTTAAACCCCCTAAACCCCCCGTAGATCCGAGCCTGGTCACTATACCTTTGAGGCAAAGACCTGTTAACATGTTTTAGCATAAACTCTTGACTGGCAGATTTAGCCTGTTCAATTCAGTAAAGAGATTAAAAATGAATCAGTTTACATGAAGATATTTCGGACGAAGAGTTTAACACGTACCAAGAGAATTCCGAAGTTAGTCAGATGATTACACTCGCATTCGATCCTTTCACTGGTGTCATTACTCGTCTTGTTACATCCACGTTGAGACCAGGCTTTGTCGTCAAAGTCCCAGAATACACACTGAGCATTGGTCCCATTCTGAAAATAAAGATAAAGTAGAAATTAAACGAATTTTTTTTTTTCTCTCTAAAATGAGGTAAAATATAGTTCATTGTTATTTTAAATTGGTTTTTTTTTTGGATGGATTTATGAAGTTCTTTGTTGCATTTGCAAATTATTGTTTATGTCAATCACCCTATGATATCACAGTCCAAGGTTTACACCAGATTCTCTTGATTTGTCTTACATATCCTCTTCCTCTCTATTTCATTACCTCCTTCTCTCTCTCTCTCTCTCTTTCTCTCTCTCTCTCTCTCTCTTTACCATAGGTCTTTACTATCATGAACCCATTAATTCCTCAATCCATTTCTGCCAACTTTAAGTTTTCTCTGTTTATCATTTCGTGTCATTTTACAACGTAAATATATTCATTGAGTGACGCGATACAATTCTGTATTCGCTATAAGTTCAATAAATTGATTGTCATATCTTCTTACTGCATTTAGAGGAGTGAACGATATCCTGACTGGTTCGCTCAAATTCTCCACCTTTTCGTTATTGAAAGACGCCGATATGATCCTAGAATTCAAGGGTCCATTGTTCTCTTCTACATCTTGGTTGAACTGCGCAATCCCCGTATCCTGGAACATAGATGGCACGCGATACGTCGTGATGACGAGACGCCCTCTGCGTCCTGAGAACCTGTCCGCTAAACCCGATGGAATGAAGAGTGTAGCCTGTGTCTGGGTGGCTTCTGGCTCTTGCGTCAGGTCACCTCTTTCCACCTTGAAGTCTTCGTCAGAGATGCTCTCACCGTCATCAGTTACAGACATGAAGACAGTATAACCTTGGCCGATGTCCTCGGGGGTCACATCAAGTACCTGAAACGGAAAGACCGAATGAGAGTGTTTTTAAAATATATAGCCAGTTCAGGTATGAACAGATAATTATCAACAGCTGGTCACAGAAACAGTCCCTGCAAGGGAGGACCCAAACATGCCGTTAAAATTGGTTCGCTACTGTTCAGATGAAGTTATGTATGGCTAATCTGTAGAATATAAAATTAATCAAATATTTTTCTAACTTACATCACATAAGAAATGTGTGGCACACAAATTATGAAAATATGAAAGTGTGCAATTATATCGGATAAAAGTGATATTGCATGACAGATCTAAAAGCTAGCCTGACTTTACAAGAATCATTCCATAGTCAAAGAAGTTGTGTCAGCGTAATACTTCAAGAAATTTGCATTGGATCTAGTTATTGTTCCATTCGTGTTACTGGTAGTGAGGGGAAAGGATACAATGACAAGAGAACAAAGTACGTGTTGCATCACGATCCAACTCGATATGTCACTTTTCTTCAGTACCCATTTGCACTACGGTCAAGGATCAAGTTTCATTTTGTTTTGTTTGTCAGTTACTGAAGTTACTGATTTTGAGATTATTTAAATTGGTTGAGATTCACAAAACTCTTATCAGGCATGGCGCACAGGAAGGTTCATTGAACTGATAATCATTTTGTACAAACACCTAATCCCTCAGTCGCTCATTTGAGTGGTATGACAGCCGAAGTAGAATGTCAAATATATTGGACATTTTCAAAACTTGCATGGCATGTGACCTTCTCTTAAACAATTGAAAAGTACAGACTGTCTGCCCTACCTCAGCAGCAACATTGGTTTCCACAAACCGACTACTTTCATTTCCCACTTCTACGACAGCAAGCTGTGCTTCGAGAGCCAAGACTACACGGCTGGGCGAGCTATTCTCTTCTTCGGCCATACCAAGCTGTTCGTCAGGTAAGGCTGCGATGTTATTTACAATTCCTACCATAGATTTAGCCACCTGTTGTTCAAGAAAATAAAATATAGTGTGAGTACCAGTAAAAAGTTGTGATTGCATCGTGACAGAATAATGCTGAGATCTTCCTTTGTAATTGACTTATGTTAGTATCACCTTGAAAACCTTAAGTTAGTAATCACTAGACAGCACTTGAATCGAGACTATCATCATGTAAGGAATATACTAAACATTATGAAACAAGGAAAAGGGGACCGTAAACTTGTTTATTAGCACTTCTACATATGAAATACCGGCTAGAGTAGTTTAAGCATTCAGCTGATAGAAACAGGTATGTTTCTTTAACCATGATTGAATAAATAGATCCAAATGAATTCGAAACACATACCTTTGTTTCTGTAGAATTTATTTCATTTATATCCTCAAGAAGTTCTGCAACTACATTGAGCCCCTCTAGAGAGATGTTCTGGCCCATGCTTGTGACGTTTTCCAACTCTTCAGCGACATTTGCTGCGTTATCTAAAGTGATTTCTACCTGCGAAATCAAATGCAGATGTTATCAAATAGAGAGAGAGACAGACAGACAGAGAAGAAGAGAGACAAAGAGAGAGCAGCAGAGATAGAGAGAGAGAGAGAGGAAGAGAGACACAGAGGAATGAGAGATAAAGGGAAAGACAGCGAGAGAGAAATCGAGAGAGAGAGAGAGAGAGAGAGAGAGAGAAAGAGAGAGAGAGAAAAGGCTAGCCAAATATGACTAACTTGTATGATAAAAATGCGATTTTTTTTTTTTAAACCATAGACCTTGGGTTTTCCTCACGAACTAAATAAAAAGTTGTTTATTAAATTTCAATTTAATTTCAGTTTCATTTATAATTAAATTCCCTTGTCAGTCCAATTCCATTACTTTTTCAATTTGATCCCACTTCCAATTTCATGTTTATTTGCTAACAGCGTCGTTTCAAAATGATGGTCCTGAAATTCAAGAATATACTGACGTTTCTTAAGATCTCAAGAATCTCTTCAGCAGTTAGGTTTTTTCCGCAGCTCATCTTACAAGCATTGGTATAACAGCCTTCACATGGACCAACTGTAGCCTGACCTGCAAAAAAAGAAAGAAAATGTATATAATATTGATACATATTTTTGTCCCGGCTATTCATAGAGGTTTCGTATTCGAGTGTTCTGACGTTATCGTGTTCATTTTTTTACGTATTAGCCCATGAAAATATGCTACTACTACTTTAACAAAGTTATGAAGTCTTGGACTGTGCGTGGGGAAAGGCCTCCATCCCTACACACAATGCTCTACAAGATCTCCTTTTAAGTGGATTTCTCAATGTCCTTTGAAATTCGACTTAATTTATGATAATATTATGCCTTTGTATCTTGAATCTTAAATGCTTTGATTACTTTTAGACAATTGATAATGTACAATTACAAATTAATTTCATTTTCTATATTATAAAATTATTATCAAATGACGTTAACTTTGCAATTGCAAACGTCAATTGATATCAATTTTATGTGAGCATTCTTGTTATGGTTTGATTGAGTTATGGAAATACAATTATTTGAAATAGATAATATCTTGTTCATGGATTAGATAAAAGCACTACACGTGATGAAAAATATTTATAATAGACACCAGCTAGAGGTCAGAAAATATGAAAAATATGAAAAATATCAATAATTTGAAGAAAATTAATAGCTAATTAGATTTTTTTTAAATATATAAATAACTAATGTATTAATTAATTATTCTAAATTGTAAAAAAGAAAGAAAAACATTTCAAATTGGACGAATTTCTGACAAACCTTCGCACGTGTAGGCTACCTCAAGGTACTTATATGTTCCAATGCACGGATCACCAGCAAGGTCATTCGTTGCAGTAATGCTGCATTGCGATCGGCCGTTACATTTTGAACCGATAACAGCCACTACGTCTGATGCACAAGACGTGTCTGATACTTGTGGGTTAGGACAGGTTGTGCTGTCACTTCGTCCGTAGACAGCGGTAGCAATGTTGATCAGGCCCTCTTTGCAATTTATTTCACCCGTCGTCCTCTCACAGATAATTATCTTAGTTTCTGAAGAAGAAAAGAGAACACCACTGGCTTAAAGTAGCATGAACAGTATGATCCTCGCCCTTAGTTCACAGTTGTGTTTACATTCAGACCCTTTGGAAATACGAAGGCGAGGGACGAATAACGTGGAATATCATAACCATTATTCTAAGTCATGATATGCATACACTAGTTGCAAATATTTAAATATCTAGACATAGAATTCGTCATGGAGACAAATTAGGTGATTTTGTTTTGCTCCCGAAATTTTAAAAATCGCGCCGGCCGAAATATCGCTCAGGGGGGAGGGGGGGGGGGGGGGGGGGGGGGGGGGGTAGTGAGCACATTTTTTTTTTTAGCCCTTGAAAATTTAAAAATTTGCATCCCCCACCCTTGAGCTTAAAATTACGTGTTTTTACATGTTTGTTTTTCCCAGGGGGGGGGGGGGGGGGGGGAGGCCTGGGGCAAAGTGGATTGTTGATATTTTGTTAAGTTCATATCATTTAATAAAACTGATTATTTGAGAAACATTGTTAGTGTCATTTGTTAGTGGTAGTCCTAAGGTAAAACTGTAAACCAAATGTTTTGCTTTACTTTACTTTGTAATCCTGTTCTGGTTGTTCTAATTTTTGGGGTCCACTTTGCCCCGGGTTCCCCTACGGCCCTGTTACCATTAAATTAATGACAGGAGTAGGCGGTCTAAGGAGTATCGTGTCGTACATAGCAACAAGAAAAGCAATGTTAATGGTCAGGCGCGCCGGAAGCAGTTTGGGATTGGGGGGGCAAACATTCCAGGGGGCTCACATTCCAGGGGCAGTGACGTAATGAGAAAAATTGTTCGGAAGGGGGGGGGGAGAGACGAAAAATCTGCATCACCACCAGTCTTACACGTTACATGCAGGTCCCGCGGAACGTTTTTCAAAGTGGATCAGGTAGATCGTAAATTGGCGTGGGGTCCAGAGCATGAGCCTCGGCAGGGGGTCAAGGGGCTGAGCCCCCGGAAGCTCAGGGGTTTTAGGTATTTAATTACGGTTAGATGAGCATCCAGGGGCCCTCTGTAAGGCAATTGACGTGTTCCAAGGGGGGGGGGAGCCCCCAGAAGCTCAGAGGTTTAATATTTAACTACGGTCAGATGAGCATCCAGGGGCCGTCTTAGGGCCCTTGGTGTGGTCCAGGGGGCAGAGCCCCCGGAAGCTCAGGGGTTTTAGGTATTTAATTACGGTCAGATGAGCATCCAGGGCCCGCCTTAGGGCCCTTGGTGGGGTCCAGGGGGCAGAGCCCCCGGAAGCTCAGGGGTTTAGGTATTTAATTAAGGTCAGATGAGCATCCAGGGGCCGCCTTAGGGCCCCTGGTGGGGCCCAGGGGGCAAAGCCCGGGAAGCTCAGGGGTTTGAGGTATTTAATAACGGTCACATGAGCATCCAGGGGCCCGCCTTAGGGCCCTTGGTGGGGTCCAGGGGGCAGAGCCCCCTGAAGCTCAGGGGTTTTAGGTATTTAATTAAGGTCAGATGAGCATCCAGGGGGCCGCCTTAGGGCCCTTGGTGAGGTCCAGGGGCAAAGCCCCGGAAGCTCAGGGGTTTGAGGTATTTAATAACGGTCAGATGGGCATCCAGGGGCCCGCCCTAGGGTTCTTGGTGGGGTTCCAGGGGGCAGAGCTTCCGGAAGCTCAGGGGTTTTAGGTATTTAATTACGGTCAGATGAGCATCCAGGGGCCCGCCTTAGAGCCCTTGTTGGGGTCCAGGGGGCAGAGCCCCTGGAAGCTCGGGGGTTTTAGGTATTTAATTACGGTCAGATGAGCATCCAGGGGCCCGCCTTAGGTCCCTTGGTGGGGTCCGGGGGCAGAGCCCCCGTAAGCTCTGGGGTTTTAAGCATTTAATTACGGTCAGATGAGCATTTTTTATACCTTATTTGTGACATTGGCAGGTCACTTTTTTTTCTTCTCCGTCTTTCTTTCTTTTTCTCTTTAACATACTTTTTCAAAAAGGAGGGGGGGGGGGAGGTCGAGCTCAGCCACTTTGCAGACCATGACATAAAGGCTTCTAAATAAGCGTATTTCGCCTGACTGTAATTTGGGAATTTCTTATTTTCCAACAAACGCATAAAAAGGTATGACTTACAAGAAAAATGGAGAAAAAATGCCGGAAAATCATGTCACAACATCAACATTTGTAAATCACTTGTTTCGAATAAGAAATACATCACCCCCCCCCCCCCCATCAGTACGCCAGCTTCCAGTGGCTCATGTCTTCTCACCCCTATAACAAAAAAAAACGGACACGCTTTCCCATTCTCGCACAATATGTCCACGATATGCGCGTATCGCTATTATAGAGATCTCCATTGATAAATACCGTATAGGTGGCATGCGCAATGTTTATGAAATTTAATTCCTGTGAACTTTCCTTTTTCTTTGAATGGAATTGTATACAGATGATTGTATATGTGATTTAATTTAGGTTTTTATTATTGTTACGTTCTTTTGGATTAAAAATACAAACCATGTTTACTCCTTTACTGTTTGTTTTTGTTTTTTTGGAGGGGGGGGGGGGGCGTTTTTTTTTTTTTGGGGGGGGGCAAAAATGCGTTTTGCCCCCCCACTTTTTTGACTGGGGGGGCAACTGCCCCCCCCTGCCCCCCCACTTCCGGCGCCTATGTTAATGGTCGAGAATCGAGAGGAGAAACTGTGCAGATGAGAATTGTAAGGGAGATAAAGTATTGATGGAGAATAAAATAAGAACCATGAGAATTCACCGAATCTGACCATGATGAGGCTACAAGGCTAGACAGGCACAGGATAATGACAGAGGAGGGGAATAGAAAAAATATTGATAGTACTTTCATAATCAATATAGATACGATATGAAATTTACAAATGTCCTATTTTCCCCGATATGAGGCGAAGGGTAGCCTGAATACAAAATACAATGATATTTAACTGTATTGTGATATAAAATTGTACATGTTCTCGGGTTTCAGCTCCCCCCCCCCCCCACATTTAATATTTTAGACTCTTTTGAAGCTTATCTGCCGTAGTTTATAGAAGAGATTAGACTGCCCTGCAAGGTCACTGGACAGGTGGTTATCTCATCAACTTAGCTCTCAGTTAACATAAGAAAAAGAGGATCATGGGGGACCACTGGTCACCGATTAGGCATTGTTTGTTATATAGAGAGCGCAAGTAGCTACAAGTAGTGCAGTGGGCCTTTAATTTCAAATAATTCGATGCTATTTTGTCCTTCCCATATTCCCATTTTGTTTACTAATAGAAGGAAACAAACATCTTCTCATCTCAAACAATAATGAAGGGCAGACTTAGTCATGGACGTGTTGCATCAGGATTTGCAGTGTTCAGTTATTTCACTTTTCAAATTATTTTTCCTGCAATAGAGAGTTTAAACCACACATCTTGGAAGCATCAGAAATCGCTTCATGTATAGCAAACATGTTTCAGTAACTAACCTTGTCCACTAACACTGTACATTGTGACAGCGACAAGAAATAATGTCGAGATAAACATTTTCTCTCCACACAGTCCCGACATGATGTATCCTGATACAATTGTCAAAACTTTGGCGTCAGATGGCGGGCTTCGATAGATCAATGGTGTGCTAAATCCTGCAAAAAATCAAAGTAAAGTAAAAGTTGCTTTACAGAAAATCTTTATTTACATACAAACAGACATATATAATAAAAACTGAAGAATGGAGGATTCGGTGTTTAAATCAAACAGTTTTAGTATGTCGACTTACTTAGCGTCTAATAATCAAGCAACGTAGGCCTACTGTGCGTCGAAAATTCGTTACCAAATAAAACTTTTATTATCTTCTCTTCTCCATTTATTGGGTAATATACCAATTCGTGGACCAATTGTCAGAAATAGCCTATATATATATATATATATATATACACTGTAAGAGAAATATGAGCGACAGTGTATATATATATATATATATACATAATTATTTATATGTATATGTATGTGTGGGTGTGTCTTTCTCTCTTCCCCGTCTTTCTCTCTAAATCTCCCCCTCTCCGTTGTATATAATGTATACCTTTTAAATAGATCTCTGGGATTTTCGAAGACTCTGTTGATCCAGAGTTTATCTGAGGTGACCTCTGTTTCCGGATGAGTAACGAAATATCATGAGACTTCGAAATAACAGGAAATAACACCTACCGCGTATTCGGCCTAGGCTTACTTTGTGAAAATATGGGAAAAGTCCCCAAACATGATCTGGCAAACAAACTTTGCCATCTTTACTGCAGGCCTACTTGTACTAAGCAGATGCTCTAATAGTTTGCAGACACAAATAAAGCCTTGTCAGTCGCTGTGCGTTACAGTGTCTGCGCAGTGAGACAAGGCTCAGGGCATACTACAAAGGCTCTACTGAGCTGGTTTGATGCAGCAAGAGACTGGCAGAGCTAGGGTCTTTTTAATGCTTTAGGATTTGTGGTAAAGTGTCAAATAGGAGTCTGTGGCTGGTTTCCTTGAGTGGATTCCTTGACCACGACGAAAGTAAGAAGGGCATTAATACTCCGTTTATTAAAAGTAGGCCCGCATATTAAGTCAAAATCCCTCCGGTTCAAGTTTTGTTTATAAAGACTATCAAACTTTTCAGACCATCACACTCAACTGCAAAGTTTTAATTTTAGTTTGAATTTGAGATTATCAACAACAACAATTAGAACATGTAAAAAATAATGTTTCAATCATGATAACATAATATATAACAATATATCACAAGATAAATAACATTAGACATGATTAAGATCAACATTGTTTGCCAAAGTATGTTTTTATACAAATGCAAGAAAATTACTGTGATTTTTATTTAGGCAGTTGTCCATGTTCTTTGCCCCATGTGCCATATCTGTGCTCTATTACCTGACAGTATTCAATTAAATAGTGAGGAAGATTGCCATTTAATAAGTCATAGATGAAGGTTGAGAAAGATCGAAAATAAAGGTTGTAAACATTTACAATTTTTATCTTTTGGAATAGGGTTCCAAATGGTTACCTCTTGGGCTAAAGGTTATCGCTCTCATCGCCATAATTCCTGGCTAGACCATCATCCATTAGCATTCGTGTAGGCACCCTACCTTTCAGCTGGGGCAAGTCATGGACTTCCCAGTGTTTATTTTCCTTCCCGATTCTTCCTATTTCCTTTTCGATTTTGTCAAATGTTTTTTCCCGATTTTTCCCGATTTTTCCCGATTTTTCACCTTTTTTTTCAAATCTCCTCTTATCTTCCTGATTTTTGCAAACTTTGCTTGACATGGAAACTCCCCCCCCCCCCTCCCCGCTCCCGTTTATGCCACTGCCATCATAAATAGCTAAGCGTTGCTGTGCCGGAAGTTTTGCAAAAGTGAAAGTCCGTTCATACAAGCATTGCGGTGCGGCATGACCGCATTGCTGTACCGCAATAAAGTTTAAAATATCTTTTTAATTGAAATGCCATGACTTCGCGTTGAGTTGCGTCAAAAAATAATTTATATATCGGCAAGCATAAAACAATGTAGGCCTACCGCTCATAAACCGTCGCGTTTCGAGTAAAAATTCAGCTTAAGTCTAATGGACCGGTCAAATTACATATGGGATTGTTTGGAAACTCGAAATTCAGTCCTTGTTTTCTCATGGTCAGGGATTTAGGACAGTCGGTAAAATGTGTACACTCTTTCTTTTCAACTGTAGAGCAATAATAAAGCCAAAATGATAAAGATGTGGATAAAAGTATTCACCAAATCGCGTGAATTGAGTTTGAATTTTAAATTTTCTTGGGCTAGGGAGAATGTTTCCCAGACAATCGACATCAGATACATTATATACCTTTAATAAAATGAAGGAAGTTGTTTGAACATTTTGTGAGGGGCAATACAAATATATAAAATAAAAGATGTATACAAATTTTAACACATCAAGATCTATGATAAGATTATTGTACTGTGTGACGCTATATTTCATTTATTATGCTTTGTTATTATTTTGATTGTCATCTACCGCCAAAGAGAACGACTTATTCTAATTTGTTATGTTATATAGACATTCAAAACTTATAATAAACCTTTGAACTGCATTATATATTATAAAAGTGCACCATTCAGAATCATTTATTTGTGTGTCCTATAAATTACAATAAAGAGGGAGGGGGATTCTGCGACAATCAAATCAACTCTACTGGCAAATAGGTTTGTGTATATAATTGTTTGTATAGCTTACCTGTATAGCATCTGAGATGGAGAATCCTTTGTTGAAGCTTCGGAACTTCTAAAGACTTCAATACGACAGATTCGAGAAATCAAACAACGATCACTTCAAGTGAATTCCATAAAACGTGTACGTAAATACGTGTCATCATAAATCGGACATACCAATACCAAGTTTTCTTCTTTTGTTTCTTCCCAATTATAATAATTCCGATGTTTCGAAAGTTCATAAATGTCCGCAAGTGGTTATTTTTGTGTTCACATATGGTATATAATCCAGAAACGCATTTTATTTATGTTCGTTCAATTAATGTCAACGGAAATTATGACCCACATTCAACGTGATCTTATATACTACAACCAGCGCTACGGTCTCATACTTTCACTTTCACATGATGATCTTGCTGTTTCCTTAGCTATGGGAAGCAGGAAATTCCGCAGGAGATAACAAAATGAACAATTCAAACTGGATTTATTTGATGATAGGGATACCCGTAACGGAAATAAACTCAGATCCTTCAGAAAATAAAAAAATACAATCAAGCAAAACAAGTATTTATCCCATATATAAATTTCAGAAAAAATATCACCAAACAACGACTGAGCGCACACAACTGAATTACCCATAAAACGGGAAGATATAAAAGATCAGGAAAAACGCCCCCTTATACAATTCTATATAGACGGCAATATGAATCTAGTAGGAGATGAATTCCATATAATTATGAAATGTGATGAATATAAAGATTTACGGGTAGATTTTTTTTTTAATTAGCAATTTGGAAAAAAATTGTATTAACTTACATATCATGAGATTAGACAATAAAGATATGATAGATAGTTTCTCTTCGTTCACGAAAAACATAATTGCAGTAGGTGAGGGGTAACATCAAAATTCTGTGTAACAACAAAATAAAAATAAAATAAAAAAGCCTTATTGAATTTGATAAAAGATAAGTGTACAACCCTATTATTTTTTCCGTATTTCTTTTATGTATTCGACCTAAGGGGGTCGCATTTATAGGTACTATTACGTCATAGTTGTAGGCGAAACGATTATCCATTGCATTCCAAGTACCTCATTTACCTATTTTGTAAGCATGGGTTATAATTTATCAGAAAATTGCTATATTATGTTTTATATATCTAAATCTTCGGATGCATTATGGTACATTATATTATTTACGTTATGCATTATGTGACATGTTATTACAAGAATAAAAAGATTCGTTTCTACTGTATCTAATTTTCCTTCTGTTTTGCTACACTGCATTGTAAATTGATCTATCAACTTATGATTTATATGTTTACAAACAGAATATGGATTAGTTACATTCGTTGTAAATTGATTTATATGTTTATAAACAGATTATCGGTGAACATCAATGAAGTTTGTACGGGGGTAATTTAAGCCTCGTCCATTTCTAAACGAAGAAATACATCGAATGGTTTGTGTTTAAAAAAAGAAAAAAGAAAAGAAGAACAAAAGTATTGATGGGCAGCCTTGTTGATCTGTTTCGATTGCCGGTTCTTAAAGAGAAAGTTCATTGATTTAAAAAACTAACTTTAAAGCTTATCTGTACTAGTTTACAGGAGGGATTAGAGCACTCTGCAAGGTCACTGGACAGGTGGTTATCTCATCAACTCAGCTCTCAAATAACATAAGAAAAACAGGATCATGGGGGACCAATGGTCACCGATTAGGCATTGTTTTCTATACAGAGGGAGCAAGTAGCTACAAGTAGTGCAGTGGGCCTTTAATGTCATTATTGCAAAGGTGACACTTTGATTGGCCAAGGTTATCAAAAGCCAATGCTTCGAAACATTCGAAATAATGATTATTAACACTTACAAAACGCTTAGATACAGCCCCGACATAGCACCTGAAGAGCTCCCCGGTCGTTGCTGAGATTATGACGTCACATCTTGAACATGACGATGTCCCATGACATCTCACACAATTTCAGTGCCTGTTTCATTCATCTTTTCTTCAGTTATTTCTCTTACTTAAATACCCTCAGGCAAAATGTTTAATCTATTGCCTCACTCTAAACCCCGTGCATGGTATTATTTTGATAAAAATGCAAGGATAAAAAAAAAGGAATCCGTCGCTTGTAAACCAAAATAAGACGCCATTGTATTTTCAGCTGCATACATCGCGGCATGTTCGGCGTTTCAAGAGGGAACAAAATGACGTCCATGCTATCATTCCAGATGTTTTTTTAATTTGAAAGTGTTGTTTCTTTGATTCAATTCAATTCAATTCAATTCATTTAATTTTCCTCTTTCAATCGTTTATATTTACAATGATGGTACATTTTAACATATTCACATATTTATATACATATAGATCAATTTGCACAATACAATACATTACAAAAATAAAAATGAAATTGAAAGGGAAGGAGGGCCG